GGGGGGGGGCACAATGGGAAGAGCAAAAGCGGAGGCGAAGGAAGGAGAAAGAAGACAGTCAACGCAAGTCTGAGTGTGACAAAACAGTATATGCAAATCGGACGACGGATGCTACCCTCCGACCCACCTCAGCAGAGACCTTTAAGAAATTTCCGATGTATCAATAGGGGAAGAATAGCATTTCCAACAACACGCGCCCGTCGTACAATAGGTGATGCTTTTTCAAGAACCAAGGTGATTGGCTGGGATTAGGCAAATCTTGCACGTTCGCCATGTCCCCTAACACCCGACTTACGCTGTACATTCGATGCTCGTTTCACGCTTTCCCACACAACCGGCTTACGTTTTGCTTTCATCTCTCGCTCCACACCTTCCTTTACACATGGCTTTTCGCTTTACATTCATATCTCGTCCCACGCCTCCCCGCACATGTCGCTTACGCGTTGCATTCATCGATCGTTCTCACCTGGAAATCGTCTACGTCGTATCGGCTTCCACAGACCCTGCAGGTGTTGTTGACGCAATCCACGCAGTCCACGCAGATCTGCAACAACGGCAAGGAGGGGGGTCAAGGGAGATTCATCTCTCAGGGGGGGGGCTGCTAAGGCCATGTCCCCTGCTTCGTTTAGTTCTTAAATCGGGAAGTTCTTATTCTCACGCATTTTCCTGTGGGTCTGTAACCGAATGACGTTCATACCTTACACTTGAAGCTCGTCATTTAACAGCCAAGCGTAAAACTGGATCTAGCAACGTGCAAGCGTCCGTTTCGCATAAACGAGGAACGCATGATCCCAGAGTCTCCCTCCCTCCCACCCTCCCCCCTTTTCACATACAAAAGCATTGTGCCCCCAGTCCCTATCGCGGCGGCTTCAGTGTACCATAGTTGGTCAAGGCGACTTCATCCTCGTCCCTCGTCGTGCAACGAGAAACACACAAGCACACAACAAGCCGCATCTAGTTGAACAGATAAAGCCCATATATATGCCGCCCCGCATCTTACCAGGTGAGTGCAGGGTGTAATGTGCAGCAACTGCAAGGGCTCGCCGCATCCCTGACACAACAGCAGCAGCAAGCGGGGCAGCCGAGAGAGATAAGAACGACCACAACAGCAGTAGGGCGGGAGAAGCGGAGAAGGATAGGAAAACGGGAGAAAAGGTACGTCAAAAACACCAACAGCTATCGGATCGGTTTTTCTCCTGAGAATGTGTGGGCCGCCATCAGCAAGTAGGCCGGGCAAAGACGCCACCATCACCGTCACCACTAAAGGAAACGTGCGCCACGTTGGTGGCGCTGTTGATCCTTCTATCGCTGCGATTGTGCATACCGCAACATGCTTCGCTGTACCCTCGCCCCCCACTCATCAGTCAGTCACACACGAGCCCTGTCGAACCATATGTTTCGTCGCTGCTCGCAGGAACCCCTACCAACATAAAAAGCATTACCCTTTTACCCCTACTCCCCCGGGGGGTACGACAGAGGGCACTGCATACCCCCCGAATGACGGCCGAATCAAACACACCGTACAGCACCCCGTCGCACATTACATCGTCCTCGGTTGGTCAGAGGGAAGAAACGCCAACCTGGCAACTAGAAACCTCTCCCATGGTAGCCCTGGTTATGAAGTTGTCTATGCGACGTAGATCCACCGCGCTGGCGTCGTGCAGGTCCCTCAGCATGTCCAGGGTCTCCACCTGGTGTATGCCTTTCACCATGGGGATGAGGGTTCCTCCTCCGCAGCACGACAGGCGGATGTTGGTCAGGGCCTTCGGTTTCAGACAGACATCAGCACACACGACGGCCATTTTTCAAAACACTGGTGCAGAAAGGCGCAACTGACAGACAGACAGACAAGCACACAGATGGAGAGATGGATAACAGTAGCAAGGAAGCGAGGCTTGCGGATGAGCATCCGTGCTTATGAGCTTCTACAGCGCCCCAACGTGCCTTATCTTCTTGCTACTTAGCACGCCCACCTGTACATGTAACCTCTACTAGAGTGCATGGTCGCAAACGCTTCTAAATAAAAGCGACGTCCACACATACGGGACGACAACAGAGATGGAGTGCGAATGCGTTCTTGGATGTTAGCATCCACGTCTGGTGTCCCGCTACAACTGGCGTCATTTCATTGGTCAGTCGCGTGTCCCGGTCGAAGGCTCTCTTCAATTAACACCACACAGGCTCCACACGGTACTATTATCCCCTCCAGCTCGCCTACCTCCATCGCGTACTTGGTGTTGGCGGGGTTGAGAAGCGAGTCCTGCCACCCAGAAGTCTTTCCCTCCATGGAGGTCAGCAGCAAGTTAGACCTTTTGCATGACGACGCCGCCCACAGAAATCAGGGAAAATGTTGTTAAGAGCAAGACAGCAGGGAAACCGGCCCAAAAGCGTCATAACGCGACCAGAGGTAGGTGCTATCTCAACTTCGAGGAGAACGTGTAGACAACAGTGGACCCTGTTGTGGGATATCTTGATGAAAATTGGTAGCGCAACGAGTTGTTCATTTGCAAGGGTACCGTAAAAGATGGTAACTATAGTTTGCAAGTAACAGTACCTTGATGCTGGCCATTTGCATCCATTTGCAAGTGTACCTTAAAGCCGTTCATTTACAGGTGTACCTTGAAGCCGTTTATTTCAAAGCGTACTTCAAATTGTCCATTGACGATTGAAGGTACCTGACAAAGGACACGATGGTGTCGTACGCCAGCGTCTCCTGCTGGGACATGTTGAGCAACGCGCTTTCTCGCACTGGCGGGGGAATGCTGAGTAGATCGGCCTTCGTATGTCGAATCATCACCTTCCGAGCGAAGGAATGGGTGATGCAGACATCCATCAAACAACGAATGAGATACCGTGTTAAAAGCATGAAGGGATGCACGGAAATTTACACCATAGAGTAACGAAATGATCTCAAGAATGCGCTACAGGATGAATGCTAATCTAAGCGCTGAAACTGACCAATCACATTGAGGCTAGGTTCTTTCCGCCGCAGCAGTATATTTAGCATCAAAACGTAGCAAGAGGTTAATTATCGTGCCAACGGCAGCCAAACGTGCAAATCATACGCTCTACGTTCGTCATGGGTCGTGGAAGGCCATCGCAGTATTTGCTTGTATGCATAGAACGTTTCGCACGGTAAAACAGCTCGGTGCTGCGACATCAATGCGGTACCATACAATAACAATCAAGCTTGGTACACCTGTGCTGCTTATTACCGTGGCGTTTTTGCAGTAACTTCCGTGGTGTCAAAAAATAACCATTCAATCCCCAAAATATGTTTAAAACTTGGGTTATTTGGTACCATGGTGTTTTTTCCGGGTATTTCTATTGAAAAAAAACGTTTCCAATATACGATGTACCGTGGTGTTTTACGGGCACGCCTACTAAAAAAATAATTACTGTCGTGGTTTTTTCGGGCAATTTTGCGGATTCGTCCGGATGCATACAACAGCTCACCTCCGACAGCAGCCTCCTTAGCCGCTCGCGACCCTCCGGCTTGTTGGCGATAAAGGGGCCCCGGACGTTCCTGTTGGGCCAAAACCATCAAAAACAAACAACAAACAAAGTAAAAAAACACAGAAGTAATTGCTATCCTGGACACTTTATCTGTGGATAGAGATGAACATTGTTTTGTTTTGGCAAGATAAAGTGAGAAAATCATGGAGCTGGCAACACACTTGCCCCTTTAACGAGATCACGTAATCCATGCACAGAAATTACAGCAAAAGTCGAACGACGGGAATGGGCCTGAACCGCTGCTCTTCAGGTACTAACGAGCGATACTGACGAGCGAGCGTCTTGGTACGGCCAACGTCTATGAATCGTGCAACTCCAGCCACAAAATCTGTTGTTGTCAATGCGGACAGCAGTAAAATGATAAAATAAGCTAGCTACCTTTGGAAGTCATCAGGAGCTACATGCGCCAATCATCAGGCATGTTACCCTCGCAAGTAATCAGAGAAGTTGCCACAATCATGAGACAAGCAATATCTTCGCCGGTCACGAGACAAGCGCTAATGTGCCATACCTTCGCCATTCCGGGCTGTACTCCTTCTCCCTCAGGAGATTGAGCAGGTTACTCAGGTTTCTCAAGGCGGCGTCGGCGGAGGTGGTTGGGGTAGGGGTACCAGTCATGACCCACCTGCCAAGACAAACGGTAGGAGAGCGGCTGTGTCAGCGACGCCCAATACGAGAGCGTGTTGCACTGCTGTAGTCCCATATTCTTCTGGACGTTACCTCTGCTCAAAACCAGCTTTCTTTCGGTAGATTTGGCCGCACAAGCCGTAGTCAAACAGGAGGCAGGCAAAGACAGGAGGAGTTTGTTCTTCTGACATGTTCTCCGCACTTTTGTGGCGCTGCCTTAAACTTATCGCCAGAAGGATTCACCCGTCCAAATTCATCGTCGACCGCAACGTCGATTTCGGTGCATGTACCGATCACTCGAAACGTTTCCAACTGTACCGCAAATTTACCGAAGCAACCGCTCGTCGCATTTTGCACACCGAGCACACCGTAGTCGACGGAAACGGAAACCGTCACCCGGCCAATCACATGTCAGCAAAAGCCCAGTCTCTCTTTCTCTCTCTCTCTCTCTGTCTCTCTGCCTCTCTGTCTGTCTCTGTCTCTGTCTCTGTCTCTGTCTCTCTCTGTCTCTCTGTCTCTCTCTCTCTCTCTCTCTCTCTGTCTCTCTCTGTCTCTCTCTCTCTCTCTNCTCTCTCTCTCTCTCTCTCTCTCTCTCTCTCTCTCTCTCTCTCTCTCTCTCTCTATGTATGTCTCCGTCTCTCTCCGTCTGTCTCTATCTCTGTCGCTGTCGCTCTCTTATCTCTCTCTCTGTGCGTGTGTCTTTGTCTCTGTCTCCATCTCCCTCCATGTCATATCTCTCACCTTCGCTCTGCCTCTATCCGCCTAGCCACATCCCCGCAGCTCGTCATCGCCGATGTCCCCATGGCGTGGCCCTCATCCTGCACACAACCAGGCAACCACAACAAGATAGATTGACACCAAAAACATTCGATTGGAAAAAAAACGGGCTGACATTGCTCATCTTTCAGCGTGTACGCTTAAAACTGAAGAGACTCAAACTAAGGCCAGTATCCAGCATGCTTTTTTCAACGCTGACCTGCTAAAAAGAGACCCCAACACAATCCTTCGATGGGGACACAATCTCGAACGGGTATTGGCGGTCTTCGTGTGTGCGATCGTATCTGTACGTTCTAAAAAGCACAAGAGCACCCTCATCGTATCCGTAATAGTCGTTCGAGAGCTGTCGTTCCTTGCATGTCTCGGTCGGTGTCCCAACCCAGCTTGGTTGTGGATAAATCGAGCTGCGAAACTCGGTCTACCGCCTACCGGGTGTGCGACCACCAACACAACGATACTCGTGGTCCCGATGTTAAGAGCTCCGTGTGGTGTGGTGTGAAAACGGCCGTCGACCCTCTTATATCGGGACCCCATCTTCTATCGATACAATATTAGGGTAAATCCTACAACACTACACGGTGAGTCGAGGCTGCGACAACCGATATCCCAACCCTCACGACATCGAAGTCTCCTCTTGCTCACCACCGTGTACGATACGATACACGATGACACCTGGACCGATTTCCAAAGCTCGATTACGCCATGACCAAGAGGATGAACTAACGAAAGGGTACAGAGGCAGTTTCGACGCCACCGTTTCGGCACTGTGACCCTTGCTGCTCTTGCTGCTGTTGAGAAATCGAGCTTTGAAAATCGGTCCAGGGGGTGTGTTATCTTGTGTCATTTACGGTTACCCTGAACCACGGCATTGCAGCGACTGGAGTACCCAGACGGGCGCGAGGACAACACCAACAACGAGAAATCCTTACCAGCACCATCCTGAGCCAATAGATGCGCGAAAGCGGAGAGTCAGACCACCCGGGCTGCTCGTTGGTCAGCCGCTGATACGTCGTGACGACCACTCCGAATTCCTTCAGTTCGTCCACGGGGGGGAGGCGAGTGTCCGAGCGTTCGTCGAAAAAAACAGGGCCTAGTCTCCCTGAAAGACGACGGCGGGAAATAAAGTACGGTACGCATCGACGGAGACGGAAAATGGGAAACCGTCATGGTGCAGTGTGGGAAACCGTGAATGTTCAGGGTGAGCCGATGGACGAAGACAAACGTTAAGCCCGGGGTAGACACGTGTGCAACACACGCGCAAGTATTCGTGATGCACCGGCAAGCCGAAACGAGTCTGTTGTAGAGCGCCATTACCCCCCAACTTCAACACAAATTCGTACGCAGCCGTAGCCAATCTCTGCAGAAAAAGCAAAGAGCAGCATCACAAACGGGTGACGCCAAACGAAGTCAAAGCAGGCAGCAGGTCAGCCAACAGGTGGCCGCCAGCTGCCACGTTTCCCAAGCTCACACAGTCGGTGCGGTACCTGTTCTTTTCTTTCTATCACATTGTTTTCTTTTTCCGAGTGGTTTGTACCCTGTTCTTGTTTTGTTTCCCCGCGGCGTCGTATGTGCCGGGTTTTGAGACCACGGGCTCCCCATTTTTGGTGGACTATAGAGTTAATGTGAGAAACAACAACAACAACAACAACAGCTCACGCTTTTCGACTCGAAGAGCCCAGCGAACCCCAATGAACCAAAAACAAAGTACTGTATGACACATCTTTGGTATACAGCAGTCATTCGCGTGTTCCGACACAACACAGCAGTAGCAGTCCAAGATTCTCCGGCTCTCGCGTACCGTGCTCAGCGTGCAGGGTTAGCTGATTCCTCCAATGAGGGAGCATAGGCGGCGGAACCACGATCAGCGTCGCCGACGAAGCCTTGAGCGAACGAAGCCTCTCCACCAAGGCTTCGGCTCGGTCCTTCAACAGAAAGCGCGAGCACCCAAGACGGGACATGCATTCGAGACCCGACAGGCCGGAGCTGAGCAAAGCAAGCACGAGGTGCGCCGAATGTGCGTGCGAAACTTCTTCTGTGCTACCGTAGGTTGCACAAAATACCACACCCGCAGGACCGATTTTCAACACTCGATATGCATCCAAGACGCGGCAGGAGCTGAACGAGATGCCTACGATGCATGTACGTGCGGAACGCCTTCTTGTATACCGTAAGGCTGCACAAGATAATACACGCCCCCAGGACCGATTTTCAAAACTCGCCTACTACAACGGCGGTGTTGGACCAGTGTCGTCGAGGGCTTTCCAAAGAAGACTAACTTGATGCCGGCTCGTACCGCGTGCAAATACTAGGGGGCACACGGCCGAGATAAACGAGCTGCTGTACCGGCAATATAGTATCGATAGCAGGTGAGATGCTCCTACCAGTAAAATAGTATCAGTAGCGGCTGAGAAAATTTTGCTCCTGCATGTAGCGCACGGTACACCAACGACAGGGGGGTGGGGGTGGGGGGGGGTGGCACTCACGATTCTGCGGGCCACAAAGACGCCCTTCAAAAGATCCTCCGCTTCTCTCGAAAGTTCCTCCGCTGCCTCGGCCACCTTCGGCATCGCTCGGTCCCTCCCGTGCGGCTGCCCCTGATATTCGTTCGTTGGGTTCGTTCGAAGAGACAGAAAACGCCGACCGCATCGTATGACATGACGCACAAGGCCCAACGCACGGATGAATAATGCAACCTTCAACGCAGAACAAGCTAAAACGACAAGATGGCGGTAGCAGTCACCGAAGATGCGGCACAAAAAACAACAGGAAAAGGTCGCGAACGGCAACAAATTCTCACGTCATAAAAGGACCACAACAGCACCATCTAAACGGGTGCATGGGGCGTTCGGCGTCGTGGTGCCAAGGATCTTTTCGTGGGTATCATAGAACATGGAGCCGTCCGCTTGCTAGACTACGCCGCCGATTCCCTCCTACCACACGCATCCACACACACACGCGCGCCACACCGGTGCACGCCGACAAAAAACTTCGAAGGCGCCGAAAGCATTTTTTTGTTTTATTTCCAAAATACGATTTGTGCACCACCACTCCTACTAAGGTTCGAGGCAACACCCCATCTCAGGCACTGCCGTACCGAACAACAACATGACCGTTCCTGGTTACGCCCCGAGGACTGACAACGAAGGCACCGCGCTGCTGTACCTGCCGCACGGAAGCGTCCCCGCCATCGCCATCGCCATCACCGCCACCGCCTCCGCTAGAACGGTCCGAAACGGCCGCGCCATCGCCGCCGCCGCCGCTGTGGTAGGCGATCGCATTTGAGAACACTTTCCGGACATCGGACGCGAACTCTTGGAATGTGTCGTACGAGGGGACGGAGTCACGGGGCCCCCGCGAGCACGCTCGCCTGCTCGCCGTCGCGGAAAAAAAAAGAAAGCAAACGCGCAAGAAAAAAAAAATAGAAAATCTGGTTGAACGTGTCGCACGCGGATAGGGAGTCACCTCCCCCCCCCCCCCCCCCCCCCCCCCCCCCCCCCCCCCCCCCCCCCCCCCCCCCCCCCCCCCCCCCCCCCCCCCCCCC